GTATCCATGGAGACTACTGTGAATTCCTGAGAAAAATTTCCCTAAGCCTTCATGATCATAACAAAACATAGTTTGAGAGGCAAAAACAGGCCTTGGTCAAGCACTCTTTTCCACTTCTAAGATGGAAAAATTAAAGCAGAGATGCTGAACTACTTGCCCAGAATAATACCAGGACTCTCTCAACATCACATATGACAGATATTACTTAGTGAATATTGGAAATGGTTTGTTTTCAGTATTCCACTGAAGAAATCTAACATTCATGTGGCTTAACAATCAAAATGGAACTTATGAGTAGGAATAAGGGAAAGAAAAAAAGCAAGTAACAGAACAAAAGTCATAAAGAAACCCTGAAATTCTAATTCTTAGTTCTCTTGCTCAACTACTAAAACAGTGCTCTTCAAACTATGTCCCATAGAGTTCTAAAGGTTCTTCGGAGCTCCTTAGGAATCTTGGGGGAAGGAGGTTGTAAGTACACTGAGCTCAAGGACCTCTCATCCCTACTTTAACACAAGTAACCCGCTTAGTCTCGTACATATTGAGAATCCAAGTAAAATGGATTCTCTAGTTCTCAAGGTACACAGACTAAAAACTCTTTGATGACATTGGTACAAACACTCTCAGAATAATTCTTTTTGTTGGAAAGCCCTTGCAAACAATATCTGTCATCCAGAGGCCAAGAAAGTAAGATGTCAAGGGACTAAAGACTAGATTGAATTAATGTGAATGCTATAAAGGAGGTATTTTGTTTGTTCTGTTCACTACTATCCCAAGAGGCCAGAATAGTGTCTGGAACTTATAGCTTCTGACAGAAATGGGGCAGGGAGGAGAGGAGAACTGGATGTTATAAACTACCTAGGAATATGTGTATTTATATATAAATAATATATATGAAGACTTTTAAGATTACAGGACATTTGAGGTCCTCCATCCTTTGTGTGTCCCAAGCACTGTTCTGTAACTCATTAGCCGTATGACCTTGGGCAAGTTGTTTAACCCAAGTGTCTGAGGTACCTCACTACAAACTGAGAAACAATCTTTACAAAAACTATGTTTTGTAAAGATTAAGTGTAAAGCACTTAGCTCAGTGTGTGACACAAGGTAAACTCTTAAAAAAAAAAAAAAAGCAAGCACCGTATCTGTTCCCTTGGTAGCTCCTATAATCCAAAAATCTTAGTAACTAAGAAGCAAATGTAGTGGTCTTACCCAAAGCATTTTTGACCTGAACAAAAGTGGTTCTAGTTAGTTTAGCCAGAAAGGGCTAAGAATCTCTCAATCTGTTCTTGTGGCTCTTTGCCTACACTCACTCAAGGAAACAGAATATGAAGGTCCCTTGCACAGTAAGATGTTCTTATTTTAACTGTAGAATCCAATTGTGTTGGATTCTAGACACATAAGGCTACCTAAGATCTGCCAGAGACTGAATTAAAGGCCCTGGGACCAAATTCATCTTGGTGTGATCTGTGAGAAAAGCTCTAGGCTCTTTGATTTAGAAGGAATCTCAGAGATTCGGTCTACTTCTTTCGTTTTTCAGCTAAGGAAAATTAAAGTTCAGAAATGTTAATTAATGTGGCCAAGATCACATAGTTAGCTGAAGAAAGCACTGAGACCAGTCTCCTAACTTCTATCAGGCTATAGCTGACTGAAAACAAACTTCAGGCACAACAGTATAAATCCAAATTTATAGGTTTCATAATCAACAAGGTTTTAGTGATATAATGACCCAAATTATACTCCTTTCCATGATGCTACCCAGAAGTGCCAGACCTAAAAATTAGCTGTTCATGATATCGTGTCCTTATTTAAAAAAAACCCTAAAAACTAGAAGTCTTCCATAAATTCATTCTACTCTTCTTTTTATCCATCTTTTAGCTGTTTGCATTACCCAAGGCCTAAAGAGAAAAAAATACCAAATACGGTGATGTTTTCTTGGTTTTTTTAAGACAGGGCATTAAGGGATTTTTCTCCAACAGAGGTCCTTCTCTGGATGGAATACAAGACCTCAGATATGTAACTCCCATTAGATTGCTGGCTGTTAAACTCTGCAGTTTTCATTCTTTTCACCTTCAAGCTAGGAAATTTCTACCTACCTGCTTGCTAGCATTCTTTTACAAGTTCTTTGTAAAAAGGTTGGCCTTTACTGACTCTGGTGAAGTGAGGTCTTAGTTGAAGGAGGCTCAGAGGCTGGAAAATGCAAGATTAGACTGATTCTTTGCACTCGTCTTCTCATTCACTATTCTCTCTAGTTGTACTTTCTCTTAATAACTGACCAATGATCAGCCCCATGTTCACTAATTTATAAAGAGAAGAAAAATATTCAGAAACAGAGACAAGAGTAATTCTTGATAATGAGGAAGGGTTTAATCTTTTGATTATAGTCACGCATGAAAGGAAGTTTCCTGAACCACTAATGCCACCTGGTGGCCAGCAAGATATAGTTATGGATTCAGTGTCCCCAAAAACATGTGCTGTAAATTCTAACTTTTATGCCTGTGCTTATAATCCCGTTTGGGACTGGGTTGTTTCTGTTACGTTAATGAGACAGGATTAGTACAGGGTGTATCTTGAGTTAATCTCTTGGTAGATGAGATTAAATGCAACCAGAGATGGAGGAAGATGCCAAGACACAGGAGATATCCAAAGAGCCAGGAAGCAGAAGCTCACAAGAGACAAGGACCCTCTTCCAGAGCCGACTGAGAGAGAAAGCCTTCCCCTGAAGCCTGCACCCTGAATTCAGCCTTCTAGCCTCCTATTCTGTGAGAAAATAAATCTGTTTGTTAAAGGCACCCATGTGTGGTATTTCTGTTACAGCAGCAAAACTTGGCAAAATTTGGTACTGACAAAAACCTATAACATGGAAGCCATTTCAGATTAGGTAATGGGTATAGGCTGGAAGAGTTTTAAGGTTCCTAACAGTAAAGGCCTAGATTGTCTTGAAGAAACTGTTGGTAGAATTATGGACATAAAAGGCAAACCTGGTGAGGGCTCAGAAGGAAGTAAGGAGAGAGAGATGTAGAGAAAGTCTCTACTGTCTCAGAGAATACACATGGTGTCAACAACAGAATGTTGATAGAAATGTGGATGTTAAATGTGCTCTGTTAAAGTTTCAAAGGAAAATATGATTAGACAATTGAGGGAGGGTGATGATTTTCATGCAGTGACAAAGAACTTGTCTAAATTATGTTCAAATGTTTGGTGGAAGGCAGAACTCCTAAGCGATGACCTTGAATATCTGGCTAATGAGATTTCTAAGCAAGATCTTAAAGAGGTTGCAAGGTTTCTCCTTACCACTCATAGTAAAATGTGAGGAAAGAGAGGGACGTAAAAATGAACTGTGCAAAATGAAAATAAAACTTAAAGATATGGAAAGTCCTGTGGTACACACTAAAGACATGTGTTCTAGAATTTTCATCAAGGATGTGGCTACACAATCTTTTGTTAGAAAGATTACACCTACAACTGATGGACATAACTACCATAGCAGAAAACCCACCACAGACTGAAATGGACAGAGAAAGAAAAGGAGAGAACACTGCCTCTTGGAATTCTGCTGGCAAGAAACCGGCCAAAGGAGTTTTATCTGTTGTCCTCCAAGAAAAGAACAGAATCATCCCTGCATCAGCTTGGAGATCAGAACTGTTGGAAGGAGCATGGAAAGCAGAGCCTTCTTGAAGGGTGGGGCTATGGCCTCCAGGATCTCAAGAGTTGGATCATCACCAACTCAGTTCTGGACTGTGGTGCTGCTGGACTGCCATTTAGGTATGCCAGGGGAATGGGTCCCACCCAAGGCTGAGGGTATGAGGCTGCTATGGCCAAAGGACAGAAGACCAAGGGGTCACTCAGATGGACTAGAGCAGGGCCAAGGGAGCAGAGTTTCCATTCCAGTGAGCCTGGGAAGGGAACTGAAGCCCAGGGCCATTGCCTAGATGGTCCTTCTGAAGAGAAAAGATGATTATTTTCAAGCCTTGAGAGCTAATGTAATTTTGTTCTGTTGGGTTTTGGACTTGCTTGGTATCCATTATCCCTTCTTTCCTTCCAATTTCTCCCATTTGTGATGGAAATGTATACCTTGTATTTGTTCCACCATTGTATTTGTGAAACAGATAACCTATACTCCAGATTTCACAGGCTCTCAAATGAAGAGCAATTTTGCTCAGGATGAAGTATGTCTAACATTTCACCCATATACGATTTTGATGATTTGGATTAGATTTTGGGCTTGGAGTTGATTTGAAACTTCTGGGATGATACAATGGGATGAATGTGTTTTGCAGGTGGCAATAAGATGAATTTTGGGGAGCCAAAGGGTAGAATGTTATAGATTGAATTGTGTTGTAAATCATAACACCTATGCCTATGGTTATAATCTTATTTGGAAATGTGTTGTCTTTGTTATGCGAATGAAACAGAATCAGTATAGGGTGTATCTTGAGTCAATCTCTTTTAAAGTATAAAAGGGATTAAATTAAATGCAAGCTAGTAAGTGGAGACGAGGAAAGAGAGATGGCAAGACATACAGAGATCTCCAAGGAACCAGGAAGCAGAAGCTAAGAAGAGACAAGGACTCTCCTCCAGAGCTGACAGAAAAGCTTTCCCCTAGAGCCAGCACCCTGAATTTAGACTTCTAGCCTCCTAAACTGTGAGAATAATAAGTGTTTGTTAAAGGTACTGAAGTATGTAGTATGTTATAGCAACACTATATAACCAAGACAGAATAAAACTTAAAATGTATGTTATTTCAGCTATTAAGACAACAAATTATAAAGGAAGTTGGGGTAATGTGTTGAAAGAGTTGATTATACTAATCTCTCAATATTTTTATAAAATAACCAATTTCTGGTTTCTGGAAAAATACATTCTCAAGGAAAAATACATAAAGCCAACTTTCTCTTACTCCCCCAAAAATCTCATCTTTCTTCTTTTACCACCCCCTCAGCAAAAATGCCCCATACCAGCAGTTCCACTCATATAATACATGTGCAAAGGGGGCTTTAATGTGTTATGTAAAATCAATTTTATTAATAAAGATTGTTCCACATGTCCAAACAATTAATGAATTCCAAGAACAAAACCCTACATACAGTGAAATTAGAAGTATCCCAGGATGACAAAAAATACATAAATATGTATACCCATAATCATCGCCGCCTCCGAAAACCTGAAAGGAAGGGAAACCAAGAATGAGGCAAAGGACAGTTGGAAAAGCTGAAGGGACAGGAAAAAAAAAAAGGCATCTAGAGAGTGGGTCCCCTGGGCACTACTCTTTACATTCTTCCAGGACAAAAGATTAGAAATAGGAATCAAACGGAAATGGGATAATGATTCCTTCAAGTGACATTTTTATAGCTCTATTCAAGGAAGTCTGAACAGGAGCTACGGGAACTTAAGAAACAGGATCCAGAAATCCCTTTTGTGAATGCTGCTAATTTCCAGTTTGGGAAAGAAAAAAATGCTCATCTAAGGAGACTTGTGCCCACTAAAGAAAACAATACACAGATTGCTGAGAATCAGGCTAACAAATTCAGAGAGTTGGAGTCCCAACTCATACTTCCCACACTGTACTTGATCACCTGAACTCTAGCCTTTCACTGACCTTTTTTCTTCCGACCTTTCTTAGGCATCTTCTTCCGCTTCTTAATTGGATTCTGGTCCTGGAGACAGATGGAGAAGTGAAGGAATAGCAGTGCACTTCTAAGTATCAGCATCCCTTACCAAGTACCTCATGGTAACAAGTAATAAGAAACAAGACCCACACACGTATGGCCAAGAGCATGAAGGTCCCCTCCCACACTGTATCTCAACCTCACCTCATCTAGATGAGGGGTTCCTCCTGTCAAAGCACTGATGTCACTGAAGTGTGTGAGGGAGTGAAGCTGTGAGCTCATGACATTTGCTTGTTTTCGTCGCCCTTTTTCTCGTTTACTGATACTAAGACGCACCATCATGCTTTCCTCATAGTTAATCCTGCCAGAGGAAGACAGACACTGTTTCCAGCAGGCTCAGATGATGGAGAGAGAGCTGCAGCCAAGAACTTGGCCCTGGGTATTTACTCACCTCTTGCTCAGATACTTTTCAAGGAATTTCATAGCACATCAACAGAGTATTTAGGAAGGACATACACAATACTCCACACTGCTTCCTCAATGAAATATTCTGTGCTAGGACTTCCCTCCACCCTATAGACAAACCCATAGCCTATCTATAGGAATATTTTTAATATTTTATCAGGGAATTCTTGTATTATAGCTCTATAAACAGTTTTCCCTAAATGGACCCTTTTACCCAAATCTATCAACAGTAGAGACTGCTATGTAAGCAAAGTTGATGAGTCTGTATTCAAATTACAATTGCTGTTCTACTTTTCTTCTCTAAACTTATCTAGCACTCTCAGGGCCATTAAAAAAATCTGCCTTTATTGCCTTTTCCACCAAAGTGAAAGCTGTGACACTGAAATACAGAATTATAAAGCCCTACTAGGGAAATTGTATATATTCCTCTTCACATAGCATATGCTTCAGAATGTGGAACCTTAGCCTGAACAGTTGAAAAAACAAAGCCTTTTTTTTAGTTACTATACTGTACTTCAAAACTCTAATTCTTAGAAACTATCATTCTAAGTTTCCCACAATACTTCCTATGTAAGTGTTTCCCTTGGTAGCAGACTTAATTATATCTATCCAAAGCTCAAGGACAGGTCTCTATAGAGTAGACGTAGTTTCTAATTGCAAGGATTCAGACCTGTGTTGATCCTCCTGACTCTGGCGAGTGACATGAGGATGCCGAGCATCACGGATTTCCTCTGGAGCATCAGAATACTGTTCCTTAAGTTCCCGAATAACAGAGCTACTCAATGCCCGCTTCTTGGCTCGTTCCAGACGCTTCTTCTCCCGCTCAGCTTCTGTTTCATCTATGTGATAAACATTAGCAAGGGTCATCCCACAATAGAGAAAAAGAAAAGAGAAACACAATTCATGCTGAGGAGGCACCAGTCACAGGTTATACCATAATGTACGGGAACCAAGCGTGGTGGAACATATTTCTTAGATGCTCCTTTTACAGATTTCTTTGCTGTCACCTCAGACTGGCCTTCCTCTGCTTCACTTTCCTCCTCATCCTCTGAGCTCAACTACAAAAAGAACACAATGTCCTCAAAACACAGGAAGTGTTGGTTATGCAAATGAGAAGAAAAACACAGCTAGAATAACCCAGGAAAAGTAGGGATATAAACAAAAGAGAGGAAAGGGAATCTCATACTCAACCATTTTAAGGGACAAACTGGGATCAAGAGTAATAAAACAATCACAGGAGATCCTGGGTCACTATGAGGGGCTCATTTAGGTTTAGACTCGTTAGGAAAATCAGGAAGATAATGCAATCCCTTACCTTGCTCATCATATTGCTCGGATGAGGTTTAAAGCGAAGTGGGTCATTCTCACCTGAAATGACAAACCCAGGTTTTATAAGATTTGGAACTCTATTATGGTCCCTACTTTACTTTGTAGCCTTCCTCCACTTACTGAGGCTGCCTGTCACTGCAGTCTTGACCAGTTTGTCAATCTGATACTTTAGTTTTTGGTCCAACGGACGAATCTTTTCTAAAACCTGTAACATGGTAATTAAACAGGGTAATTACCCAAAGTTAAACACACATCAAGGTCACTATATCACGCTGCTAGATAAAGCATGTAAAATATGAACAAAATAGAGCAAATGAGGAGAAAAGTATTTTTTTCACTTGGTTTTCTCACTGAAACATGAGAACACCCATTTGAACGAGCTACTGTGTGACAGTCCTGGAGTTCAGGATTTTGAAACTTAGAACTCTAAGATGCTAAATGCTTCATACCGTGCGAATCTCCACCAGTCTCAAAACTGCAGCATGTCCCTGAAGAGACCCTCCTGAAGCTTTATGCAGGATGAGGTGGCTCAAATCCATAAGGTACATGAGCAGTAACTGGTCCTTCACTTCTAAGAAGCTGAGACCCTGAGGTGAACAAAAGAGTTAGAGATGCAGATCCAGTTTTGGTGACTCAGGAGTGCTCAGCAGACAAGATACTATTTTTTCCAAGTTCAAAATTTCCCAAATTGGTTCATGTAAGGTATTTGGTAGTAGTCTCAAGAACTTAACTGTACCTGAAATAGCCAACAAAAATAATGCTAACATGAGAAGCAAAGCACTGAGAATTACTGAAAGATAGAAGGGCAGGAAAATCAACAAAAACTTTAAAAGGGCTTTTCAACTTAAGAGCTAATGACACTGGGACCTAATAAGTCTCTGTTATGGGGGAATGTTCTACATATTATAGGATATTTCAGTCAACTGAAAGGTTAGCGGTGTGAACACACCCACAGGCACCTCAAAAGACAGGCCTAGAGACCTGCTTCTGAAAGGTTACAGTCTTGGGAACCCTGCTCTGAACACATGCAGTTGCCATGAATCAGAACTGACTTAATGGCAAACAAAATAACAACAACAACAAAAACTAGAAAAGGTCTTAGGTCATGAAAGATAACCTAGTTAATATCTGCTCAATGAATAAACAAATATGTGGTAATATAAGATGCATGGTAGCAGTCCATCAAAAAAAAGGCCAAGTGGGTCAAAGCACAGTATCCAGGACAAAGACAGCTAAAAAGATGAGTAGCAGGCTGTAGTGACATATTTGACCATATCAAGTTTAAACTGGGTTTTAAACATATGAAACAAAAACAAAGAAGAAAAAGCACAGATGAAAATCTTAAGTGGAAAGAAAAAAAAAAAGAAGATAATAAGTGAAGATGAGAATCAGCACGAAAACAATACTTCAAAAATGCAGCTCATTTCCTTTCTAAAACATAAATCTGCTGTAACTCCCCTGCTTAAAAATCTTTGAACAAATTTTATTATCTACTACAATGATTTTCACACTATTGAAATATGGTATGTTCTGTTTAAATAATACCTAAGGACAAAGAATCATCAGAGTTTTTCTAAATCAAGCAAAGATGAGGGGTCCTCCTATCAGAAACCCCCTCTCAATGATCCCTGAGAAAGTTCTTTAAGACCTTAATTTGAAAACTACCATATTTCAATTCTAAGATGCACATCATTTTCATATTTTTACACCTCTAAAATTAGAACACATTTTTTAATCAATGGTATTACATCATAGATTAATAGGTATCATTTCTCCTTACTACATAAAAAAAAGGAGCTCTGGTAGCATAGTGCCTAAGGCACTTGACTGCTAACCAGAAGGCTGGCGGTTCAAACCCACCAGCCACTCCTCGGAAGGAAGGTTGGGCAATCCTACTTCCATAGTGATACTGCCTCGGAAACCCAAGGAGGGGTCGCTATGAGTTGGGGCCGACTCGACGGCAAATAACAACAACAACAACAACATAAAAAAAGCGATACATTCTCAATTAATACCATCTTCTTCTTCTTAGTTTCAGGCAAGATGGCTCTGACTCATGGACCCCTTATATATAACAGAGCAAAACACTGCCCAGACTTGTGCCATCTTCATGATCACTGGTGTATCTATGTCCATTGTTGTGGCTATTGTTAGAGCCTTCCAATCTAGGGGGTGCATCTTCCAACACTGTATCAAACATATTCTGTTGTGATCCATAGGGTTTTCCTGGCTAATTTTCAGAAAAAGATCACCAGGCCTTCTTTCTAGTCTGTCTTAGTCTGTGCAGTGTAGTAAGTTACTTAGTGTGGCTTTTCTACCCATAAGACTTTGTAAACTCCAAGGTGGAAATTGCTATTAGCAACTGAGGAGATCCTGATTTTAAAGTCGCCCACCTGGAGTATTTCTGTTGGGCGTGGCACAATACAATGTTCTGGGAGGTTCTCACTCTCTCTCACGTGCTTAGAGTTCTGATGCTGTGATTGGCTAGTTTGACCACCCTTCCGGGAGCAAAAGGAAGCCTCCTGGAGGCAGAACGCTCTCTCTGACTGCTGGTTGAGGAAGACGTGCTGCCGAAAGAGACACGCGCCCCTGAAAGAGACAGGCGTTGCTGGGAAAGAGATGCAAGAGACACGCATTGCTGAGTGAGACACCGGGGGACCAGTGCTGCTGGGAAAGAGACTGTGAGAGACTGTTGGCCGAGGGACGGTGGGCTGGGAGAGAGACTGAGCATTTTTCTTGAATTTGAGTTGCAGCCTGGTGCTTTCCTAATAAACCCCATAATCTGTGAGTTCTGTGTGGCCACTGCAGTGAATTATCGAACCCAGGAGAGAGGTGGTGGGTGCCTTGGGAGGAACGGTTGGTGAAAGGGCTGGAGGGAGGCAGCATGTCTGGCCTTGCAGTAATAGGCCTTGGATTACTGCTGGTAATCCTGCCTTCCCCTTGTAGGGTTAGAGGAGGTCAGAACATGTGGCCTCCTTGTCGTTTTTGCAGTCTGGAAGCTCCACTGAAACCTGACAACTATGGGTGACCATGCTGGTATTTGAAATGCCAGTGGTACAGCTCCCAGTATCACAACAACATGTAAGACACCATAGTAAAATAAACTAACAGGGATATAACGTCTTAGATTAGATGCAATACTGCAGCAACTCCTCATCTAACCTACATAGCTCTTCACAGAGTGACTATTTTTTTGCAATCATTTCCTATCCAAAATGTATATTCAACCACACTGACTTACCTCCTTTCCCAGAGTACTACCATGCTTTTGGTCTTTGTGCCTTTGCACATATTCCTTTCTGTCCCTCTGACTCCTATTGATTCTTCAAAATCCTATTACCTCCTCTGAGAAGGCTTTCCTAACTTACTCAACTCCTCTGGCAGCTAACTTCTACCCTCAGCTGTTAAAGCACCTGTCATGACTCTGTAACGTGACCGCTACTGCTTCTATCTGCCTTCCCCACTTGACTCAATAAACCTACAATGAAAGAACTATTGAGAACATCAAGTGATGCTTATGCTTCAAGTGTGTCTTACCTTCCCTGTAAGATAGGCTCCAGCCTGAACTTTTTTGGTCAGAGCTTGCACCTGTGCAGTTACAGCCATCACCTGAAATTAGATCAAATAGAACAGCTGACTAGAAAGCATCATGTCAGAAGTTAAAGGGCAGAAGTTAAATAATACCACCTTAAAAATATTCTCTTCTTAGTTACCGGATACTACAGGAAAAATGGTTTCAGATTGTTCTTCAAAGGGTAGAAAAAAATTACTACTTTACAGAGAGAAAGCTTTAGAGATAATCTTTATCAAATCTTGGGGAAGGAATGGGGACTATGATGGGGCACCTGTAACTTTATCTGCACTGGTTGAAGTTAAAATGAATGAATGAGAAATATATAAATGTTTATTAGTTGGTCACCCAAAGAGCAAATCATACCACCTTGCCCAGCAACTGTTCCTTAGCTACAAAGGAAATTGATTCATGTGATTTCTGATGGTGCTTATGGAGTGTTCTGTGTACCTTTGAGTGAAAAAAGCAATTATTTTGAAATCTTGCATGAAAAACTTTTCATTAAGTCATTTTACTTTTATAGTTTTTTCTAGCATTCAAATATCTGCCCTCAAATCGTCAAAGTTTAGGGGTGAAGCCCACAAAGACAACCCGTGTCACCTGAAAGGTGACACTACTTACCTGCTCCTGGAGGTTTTTCAAAAGTGTCACAGCGCTTGGCAGGTCTGACTCCACCACCTCCTCCTACAGAAGGGTGAAGAAGAGTATAAAAACAAAAAATCAAGCCCACTGTCATCTAGTTGATTCTGGCTCATAGCGACACATAGAGTATCCAAAGCTGTAAATCTTTAGGAAGCAGAATGCCTCATCTTTCTCCCGCTCAGCGGCTGGTGAATAAACCAGTAGCAGAATACTCCTTAGGGACAATATGGATTATGAGAAAACGGGATGTTTTCCTCATGATTGTGACAAAACAGGACGTCTGGGCGGAAAACACCCTCAAACACCCTAGACCTCGAGCCCATCGCCTCCGGTACATACGCAGCTTCACTTCACAGCAGGCCTGCCCCTCAGATTACTGGAGAGGAGCGAACTCCAGCTCCCAGTCTTTCGACTGCTGCCGTTGCCTCAGGAACCGGGGAGGCCATCTCCTTCAAGCCACTTTCATCACCACCCTTCCCTCGCGCCAATAGTTTGCTCTGAGATGCCTCGAGCCACTAAAAGGAAAGAAAACGTCTGAAATAGCGACGCGAAGAAGTAACCACACGACACTCACCGATGTCGCCATCTTGACAAACTGGCCCCTTCCGGCGCCGTTCTTCCTGAATAACACTCGCTCTGTAGACTTTGCAGACAGTCACATTCTGCAAACTAAGCCAATAGAAATACGGGCTCTTTCGCTTCCGCCCCCAACAGGATGAACGAGACGAAGGACATGATCCAACCAATGGAATAAAGGAACTGGAAAACTACGTAAGACTCAGAAGGAGACCTAATGATGTAAAGACACTCTTTGAAAGGCGCATGTAATTGATTGAAGATAAGCCAATAAAAACTGGGCAAAAAATTGATTGACAGTTATCACGGCCCAATGGAAAAGGAATTAGGTGGGAGAACTGAGTGTATTGGCTCCCGGATGTCGCAGTACCCAGAATCCTTTCCCGCTCGTCTTCTTTGCATTGCTTGCACTTGCCGGTAGATGTCGCTCCTCAGCTTCCCTCGGTGAAGGTGATGTTGCAGAGCAGCCATTGCTAGCCGCTCTTCTTACGCGGGTAGCGTGAGCATCATCAGGGACCCCGTGGCCTTTTGGATCAAATCCTGACACTACTTTTGTGTGATGATGGACAAATCAGTCGGCTTCCTGCGCCTTCCTCATCAGTAAATAATATAGTTGGGCCAGAGAAGCCCTCAACCAGGGTTTAGAAGCTGACCGCTGCAATACTCGCCCTCATTTTTCGCAAAGGGAAGGCCCCTAAATGCCTCCACACACACACACATTCATTTCTACCAGTTTGGAAACAGAAGTTTTACAGATGAGGAAACTTTGTAAGACCTGCTTGACTTGCCCGTAGCCACACAAGTCCGTAGGAGAACTTGGTTCAAACTCAGGCTGCGTATATTTCATGTTGCCACGCCTGAGTTTTTCTCTGTAGTTTCAAATATGTCAGCACACAGCCCGATGGAGTAAATTGGATTGGTTTTACTTGTTCCCTTCATCTGCATTAGGAAATAAGCCCTCAGGAAGTGGGAAGAGTGCTGTTACATTGCGGGGATTGCAATCAATGTCATGAAACAAAATGTATATGAACTATTGTATGGAAAACCAATTTGCTCTGTAAACTTTAACCAAAATCGCAATAAAAAGTTTTAAAATATATAGATAAAATAAAATTTAAAAGAAAGAAAGAAGCACTTTGCTTTTCAAGGCAAATATGTCCTTGATGTTGTTGCACATTGGTTGACCTGAGACTAGAAATCATATCTTATGGCTTGGAATTATCTTCTGGAGCGAAGGAAGGAATAACCCAGCAGCTAGGGTGGGAAAATCCTGGATTCTCAATCTTTTACTGGATTTAGAAGAAGGTGGGAGGGTATTCAGTCTCTGTGCAGAATTCTGACATTTGTTACTTCTGGCCCAGCTTTAAAACTCCTATATTTTTGTACTGTTTATCAAGATTTGCACTAGGAAATGTTTCAGTGTCAACACAAAATCCTGTCTGGTTAGGCCAAAAGTAAGTATTTCCTTCCTTGGAACTTACTTGAACGTCAAATTTTATTTATTCATATATATTGTGAACTAGTTAGTGAAAAAACAAATTACACTACCCTGTTTTGTCAACCATTCCTTTTGTTAAAAAAAAAAAATCTTGAATTGGAATTAATAGTGCAGTAAATCTCTGTGAAACTCTTCCACAACTCCACCAACAAGCATTGGCAAAGAACACAAGAACATGAAATTTATTGTCGATTTCTTCCAACAGTTCCATAAACTGGTAATCATTCATAATAGTTGCATATATGTACTGAACAAAATTTTTAATTGCTTTATTGAGATTTAATAGCATACCATTGTTGTAGTATAATAAATCACCAAAGCCTTCCGTAGCAAGAGAAATTTTTTATTGCTATATATCAAAAAAACCAAAGTGAATAGATGGGAAATTGGCTGCAAGCATTATGATTATAAACAGGCCAAAAGCCAAAGAAGTACAATTAATAGGTGCTTTTTATACAATTTTGACAAGTGCTGATTTCATTGTGAGTAAGTGTTGTTCAATGTGCCCTTTACAATCATTAAGGAGCTCTGGTGGTGCAGTGAATAAGGGATTTGGCTGCTAACCAGAAGTTCGGCCGTTCAAACACACCACCTGCTCCATGGAAGGAAAATGGGGCAATCTACTTCTGTAAAGATTTCAGCCCTGGAAACTCAGTGGAGGGTAGCTATGAATCAGAATTGACTAGATGGCAGTGAGTTTGGTTGGTTTTTGGTTTTACAATCATTGGCACACATACCTGATTGGTTAAAGTGAAAATTAAATTATGATTGGGTAAACGTTTCTTTCTACACTATGATCTCTTGGCTCAGGGGTCTTAGGTCTGTTGTGTGGTGTTGGCCTGGTAGTCTTTAGTGTTTTATATATATATATATATGCGTTATGAATGATGCTAGGTAGATCTTTAATTTGTTTCTTGGTATACTACCATTCAGTTTTTTTGTTTTTTGTTTTTTAAAGAACATTGATGGGATCTTGGTTGGGATTGCACTGAATGTATATAGACTGCTTTGGGTTGTTGTTGTTATGTGCCCTTGAGTCATCTCCGACTCATAATGACATTATGTACAACAGAACAAAACAATGTCCAGTCCTGTGCCAGCCTCACGATCCCTACTATACCTGAGCCCATCACAGTAGCCACCATGTCAGTCCACCCTCTCTTTCGTTGACCCTCCACTTTACCAAGCATGACATCCTTCTCCAGAAAATGGTCCCTTCTGACAACATGACCAAAGTGGGTGAGATGAAGCCTGGCCATCCTCACTTCCAAGGAACATTCCGGCTGCACTTTTTCAGGACAGATTTGTTAGTTCTTTTAGCAATCCACAGTACTTTCAGCATTCCTCACCAATACCACAACTCAAAAGCATCAACTCTTCTTCGATCTTCCTTATTCATTGTCCAGCTCTCACATGCATATAAGGCGATTGAAAATACTATGGCTTGGGTTGGGTGCATCTTAGTCTTCAAGGAGATATCTTTGCTCTTCAGCGCTTGAAAGAGGTCTTTTGCGGCAGATTTGCCCAATGGAATACATGTTTTGCTGTCTTGACTGCTGCTTCCATTGGTGTTGATTGTAGAACCAAGTAATATGAAATTTTTGACAACTTCAATCTTTTCTCCTTCTATTGTGATGCTGCTTATTGCTCCAGTTGTGAGGATTTGTTTCCTTTATGTTGAAGTGTAATACATACTGTAGACTATAGTCTTTAATCTTCATCAGTAAGTGCTATAAGTCATCCTCACTTTCACCAAGCAAAGTTGTGTTGTCTGCATATCGCAGGTTCTTAATTAGCCTCCCTCCAATCCTAATGCCACGTTCTTCTTCATAAGGTCCAGCTTCTTGGATTGTTTGCTCAGCATACAGATTGAATAAGTATGGTGAAAGGATACAACCCTGAAGCACTCCTTTCCTGATTTTAAACCATACAGTATCCCCTTGTTGTATTCAAACAACAGCCTCCTGGTCTATGTACAGGTTCCTCATGAGTACAATTAAGTGTTCTGGAATTTCCATTCTTCTCAATGTTATCCATAATTTGTTATGATCCACACAATTGAATCCCTTAGTATAGTCAATAAAACACAAGTAAACATCTCTCTGGTATTCTTTGCTTTGAGCCAAGATCCATCTGACATCAGCTATGATATCCATCTATGTCCCCTTCTGAATCCAGCTTGCATTTCTCTTGTCAATATACTGCTGCAACCGTTTTTGAATTATCTTCAGTAAGATTTTACTTGTGTGTGGTATCAGTGATACTGTTTAATAATTTCCACATTCTGTGGGATCACCTTTCTTTGGAATAGGTACAAATATGGATCTCTTCCAGTCAGTTGGCCATGTAGCTGTCTTCCAAATCTCTTGGCATAGCCTAGTGAGTGCCTCCAGTGCAGCATTCTTTTGTTGAAGCATCTCAGTGGGTATTCCATCAATTCTCAGAGCCTTGTTTTTT